TAAATATATAAATATATATATATATATATATATATATATATACAAATATATCAATATATCAATATTATCCCCTCATATATTAATATACATTATGCTATATAAATATATCAATATTTAAATATATATTAAAATATATAAATATATTTTATTTATAGATTTTATATTTATATATTTATACGGATATACATTTATTTGTATATAAATATAATTTATTTGTAAGTTATTATTAAAAGATCCTAGTAGCTCGGTGGTTGGAGTTTCAGCTCTCCAACTCTAAGGTACCGGGTTCGAATCCTGACAATGACAATAAACCACCTAATAATAAGTTAAACTAAATAAATATAAATAAAAACTTAAATAAGCAAAATATAATATAATTAAGAGATAGGGAAGATAAATAATAGATATAATAAAAATGTAAATAAATAAAAATAGTTAAATTTGTAACTGAATCGGTCACTAAAATCGGTGACCAAGGAAATAGTGATCGATTCCAGTTGGTCACTATTTTAATTAGTAACCGATTTTGCACATTTAGTGACCGAATTTTCGGTCACTATTTGGTGTTTTTCTTGTAGTGGGTGTTTCCAGTGGCGGACGGGTGAGTAACGCGTAAGGGGAACAAAAGCTGGAAACAGATGCTAATACCTCGTAGGTTGAGGAATAAAATTAGGAATCCGCCCAATTACAATATAATAGAGTTGTAATTCATTTGTTATTTCAGATGCTCTCCAAATTTAAAAAAAAAAAAATCAAAGGTTATTTTTATTCCTCGGAACTCTCCCCTTACATCCCCATTCAATATTTTTTGACCTGCTATTGGCTAAACCACCTGAGCATTAGGCCTCATGTGAGTAGAATCACTTAACCATGCCTCATAATTGAAAAAACGAGCACCATAAAAATACATGTCACTCAGCCAAAGAAAGATATTAGAGAGTTGGTCAAAATGAGTACTAGAAGATAATTTTACATTTTCTAACAATTTATGTTCCAATAATTTACATTTTCGCATTTTATAATTTATTTCTCTAATTTCAATCCTTTATTTTTAGAGATCTTTTTTATTTTTTCATCCTAATAAAGTTTCATCAATTAATTAAATAATGTTTGAACTAATACTTAACATCCAAAATCACAATCAATATTCGACTCATATAAGAGATATTCATTATAAAAATTGACTTTATATTTATGATTAAACTTGATTAACATTATATATTTTTGGGTTTAATTAAAACACTATCTATATTGAAAATTTGATATTTACTAATCTAAATAAAATCAACTTACAAATATACATGATTAATATTGAATTATTTTTCGTGATAAACATGTTTAATTAAATTATTATAATTTTTTTATTGTTTCACTTCGGTCAAGTTATAATAATACAAATCTTAACTTATCAAAATAAAAAAAATTACTACTAAAATTTGTAAATAGAGAAAATTGAAATATTATATTTATATCATGATGTAAACAAATTTCATTTTTTATAATTGTACTTTTTATTTTTATCGTAAGATGAAGAATAAAAATAAAATATAAAAAAGGCATGTTTACGAAAAAAGGAAGAAAAAAAAATTGTGACACGAATAAGAAGTGAAATGAAGAATAGCACGGTAAAAGAAGAAGAAGAAGAAGTGAGTAACATCTAAATAAAATTTGAAAATGAAAGTATTCTTCCTTTCCATGTTATTATAAGAGCCTCGTGTGTCCCACCCTATAGGAATAACTGGAAACAAGATGTAATAGTATAAAGAGTCTAAAATGTTAATAATGTTGTTTAATAAAAAAATGAAAAATAAATAAAAAACTATTTTTTAAAATATTCTTAATTATCATTCCAGTCAACTTTTTAAATTATATTTATTAAAAAAATATTTTTTTTATGTTTGAACAAAAATAAAAATATAGAATATTTTTATTTTATTTATAAAATGACAACAATATAATAACAATAATATAATATTTTTTAAAAATATTTTTAATTTTTGTAAAATTAATTTAGTTTCAATTTTAATCTTATATTTTTTTTAAAAAGGAAATAGTTTTATGGAAATTTTATAAAAAATCATCTTTTTATAAAAATTTAAAACTTCCTATAAATGTATCATTTAAAATATTATATTAAATTAATATTTAATTAAATTATTTTTAAATTGTCAAGATGTAAATAAAAAATTTATAAAAATACAAATACTTATAAAAATTATTCATTTGAGTAAATTTATAATAAATTACTTGAAAAATGACATATTATAATAAACCCTATTTAAAGTGAAATAAGACCTTCATGTATTATTTATAAAAACTAGCAATAAATCTTATTTAAAGTAAAATAAAAAAACTTCAATATTGAGAACTAGCACCAAAATGCTCTAATACTATAAAAACTTAAAAGACAACCTACGAGCATATCTTCTTGGGAGTCTGAGGGGTCGTGACTCCCCAAGTTTTGTAACTTTCATGTAATTTATGATTTTGGCCTCCCAAACTTAATGATCATTTAATATATTTACTTATATATTTACAATTTTATCCTCTCATTACTTTTAACTCTTATATAATTTATGATTTTATTCCCTCAAACTTGATGATCATTTAATATATTTATTTATACATTTATAATTTTATCCTCTCACCCTTTTATCTTTTTTTCACCTTTTATATTTATTTTTTATTTATTAATAATATATTATTTGACCCCCTCAAAATCAATGGCCCCCAAAGTTTTGTAACTTCCATGTAATTTATGATTTTGACCCCCAAACATAATGAATATTTAATATATTTACTTGTATATTTACAATTTTATCCTCTCGACCTCTCCTCGGTTTTGTAACTCTCGGATAATTTATGATTTTGTTCCCCTCAAACTTAATGATCATTTAATATATTTAAATATATATCTATAATTTTATCTTTTCACCATTTCATCTTCTTTCTTCTTTTTATATTTATTTATTATTTATTAATAATATATTATTTGGTCCTCCCAAGATCAATGGTCAAAATCCGCCATTGTCCAGTCACTGCCTATGAGTAGTGAATATATAATGCTAGGAAGAGTGTGATAAGTATGAGAAGTGAACATGTAATAATAATAATAATAATAATAATAATAATAATAATAATAATAATAATAATAATAATAATAATAATAATGAAGAAGAAGAAGAAGAAGAAGAAGAAGAAGAAGAAGAAGAAGAAGAAGAAGAAGAAGAAGAGTGGAGAGAGTATTTGATACATACTAAAAATGGAAATAATAATAAAAATTTAATTATACTAATTTAAAATAAAAAAGAAAATAAAAAATAATTATTTTAAAAAAGTAATAACATAAAAAATTTGTATACACACCAAGGTTTTTTACTAGTCTAAATAAAAGAATTTAATATAGAGAAAAATTGATTTACTTATTCTAAACAGGAAATTTAAAATATAATAAAATTGAATGATTTTATTCAAATAAGTAATTATTTTGAAAATGAAAGGAATTTAACTAAAAAAATTCAAAATTCATGTAATCAAAATTTCCGGAAATGCTAAAACCCTTAGTCTAGAGGTCAATTTAAACTGAAAATTCTAAACTTTTACAAAACATATAAAACTAGATTCATTAAATAAAATAAATTAAATTCAATAAACTACATCATACAATACAGGTTAATCTAATCACACTAGATAGTGAGAAACACCTATTTTACCAAAGGTCGAAGTAAAAAAAATAACTGATTATATTTCTCTCCTGTCATATCTACTTTGGCTAGTTGGATCAAACCTGATCAAGAAGGTTGAGATGACAAGTTAGGTTATGATGAATTAAATTCGGTTGAGATAGATTGTATCAAGTCAATATAGAATTAATTAGATCGAGAGCGGTTGAAGTGATTTATAAAGAAGATATTGTAATCTTTTTATAACATAAAAAGTAAGCACTAAAGTATTATTTTCTTGATGTGAGACTTCTCTTCCTACACGAACATGTAGGGTTAGTTTGAACCAATTTAAGATGAGTCGGGGTTGGGCTAAGCCATGATGATATGAGTTAAGCTAAGTTAGTGCGTAAGATGAGGTAAAAATATTTTAATCAAGATTGAATCAAAGAAAAATATTAAAAAAAATGACATAAATTTGAGAAAGAAAAAAATAAAGAATTTCAATTTTTTTTAAAGTGGAATTTGAAATATTTTACTTAATTAAAATATCCTCATCAAATTTTAAACTTTTACTTATTTCCCAAATTCTCTCTAAAAAACTAATTTTTATCAAGAAACATTTCAAATACTTTATTAAAATTAATTATTCTTTATAAATTTATCAGGAAACACAATATTAAACTATACAAACTAATTATAAATATATTAGAAATGAAAAAAAAATAACCAACTCACATTCAAAACTAGTTAACATGACATTTATGCTCACCTGGACCGTAACGGTATCGCACTTTTAGTCGAACGAAGTATTCTCATCACACTCTTTGCACGAGGAGATTTTTTTCATTACATCATCCGGAACGGTAAGGTGATTTTTTTATTTCTTGAGAATGTGAACCAAGGTGTATTGCATTGGTCGTGGATTATATAATTGAGATTTGTTGGAGTAAGTCGTGGCAGTTGCATGAAGTGCTCCACATGGAGACCAAGAGCGAGTCGAATGGGGTTTCAGTTTGAGAAATGGAAATCAACGGTATCCATTTGTTCTTTTTTTAACTTTCACTCTCCCTTCTTAAATGCCTATGTTAATGCTCTCTCCTCTTTCATTCCATCTATACAACCTCTAATCTCCAAAAACCCTGATACATACACGTACCTACCTCCACGAGAGGCATGGAAAATGAAAGCCACACCAATTTGCCAAATGGGTTCATCACAGGAAGCCCCGAAAGCCCTTGTTTAAAGCAATGCAATAACACCAACACCAACACCACAAATCATCACAACAACAAAGAACAAGATCGCTTTCTCCCTATCGCCAACGTGGGAAGAATCATGAAAAAGGCCATCCCTGGCAACGGAAAAATCTCAAAGGATGCAAAAGAAACAGTTCAAGAGTGTGTGTCTGAGTTCATCAGTTTTGTCACAGGGGAAGCCTCAGACAAATGCCAAAGGGAAAAGAGAAAGACCATCAATGGAGATGACATCATTTGGGCCATCACCACCCTAGGTTTTGAGGACTACGTCGAACCTTTAAAATCCTATCTCCAAAAATATAAAGAGATTGAAGGAGAGAAGCTTAACCTTCCTAAACAACAACAACAACGTTCAGATCAAAGACTCCATCAACAGCAACATCCCCACCAGGACCAAAACAACAATCTACCTTGTGTATATTCCTCTACAACTCTCCTTTCTCAGCCTTCTTTTGTACCCACGGATCAACTATTTTCCCTCCCATTCTCCCCAAATTCGATTCAGAAACAGTTACAGCCGCCAGACCAGATCGATTCTTTGGGACAATGGTAAGATATTGCCAGGATTTTACGTACGCTGGCACACTTTTTCATCTTTCTCCTGTCACACTCTTATAAGTAGTTTGTTTGCGCGTATACGAAAATAACACAGTTTAATAATTTACACACATTCATATAACATTTGAGTTAATTTTTCAAGGCGAATGCTTCAGGGTTTTTGGTTTCTATTACTTTTCTCGCTTGTGGTCATCTATTTCCTTCTTTACACAGATGATCACGGATTAATAGTTGTGAGCCAACATTCCAGTTATTATTATGGATAGTTAGCCAAGGAAGACATTTTCAGACTTTACCAACACAGCATTTAAGTTTCTATAATTTGGAATGTGAGATTTAGGGTGTATTCTTATATTCGTAATCAGTGGTAGTGGTAGTGGTCATAGTGGTACTGCATGTTTAAGATGGTCACAATTTCACTTTTCGTTACGACCCGCACAAATTTTATACCCACAGTGAGGTCTTAGAAGTTAGTCTTTTTAACGAACCCTCTCATCCTTCCAATGGTATATACAAATTGGAAAGGATCAACTTTAGAATCAAGATTATTAATACAATGACATCTCTCATGTCAGAATGAATAGCTAGTCTTGTCTCATTTCATACGAGAAATCACCTTATCCTCCTCCCTTCACGCTCATGTGACTGCGAGTAGTGATGAAGAAAAAACCTCAAAATTCGATCTAATTTATAATAATAAATTAGTTAATAACCGTATTCTGTAAAAATTATTCGCTTATCAAATTATCTAGAATCAATTCATGATGTTCGGTTGAAATAGATCCCACAAGAAAAAACACTTGTCATTCCTTTGGTTATTGGCCGAAAATGTCCCAAATATAACTTTCAAATTAACTTCCCAATTAATGGATGTGGTCAAAAGTAATAACGACGCAAAAGCAAAGAGACTCTGAAATGGCAGAGACAAATAGAATTTTTGCATATTTTCATTATAGACACGTTTTGGTGAAGGACTTTTCTTATTTCTTATAATGTTTTGATATTAATCAGTTTTATATTATCTATTAAGCCCTTTTTTTTTTTATCACATTACATCTCCTATAAATCTAACATTTTTCTTTTATTTCTCTTCTCTAGGTAGATTAGCATTTTGAGTTTTCCTAACACAAAATTAGTTATCAATTAATCACCATTTTATAGTATTTTAATGGTATGTCTACTACACACAAAACTTTACATTTAGTCTATTTTACATATATAATTTAAGAGTAAGAGATCTATGAAGGAAGGATTCAAGAGGGATATTAAGTATTTTTTTTTTTAGTTTTTTATACAATTTTCGTCTAAATTGTATAAAATTAAATATTTTTTTAAAAATATAAAATTATATAATCATTATATAATAAATACATTTTTTTGTTAAATGAGTGAAAATTATTTTTAGTTGATTTAATAATATATTTATATAATTTATTTACCCTTTACTCTATTCCGTTCACTCATTCGATAAATGTTTTCATTTTTCCCTTCTAATCTTTTATTCAAACAATAAATCCTTCTCCGCTGTTTGTCTTATATTTTAAATTTTTTTTCATTCTTAATCCACATAACGCAAAACATTCGGACTATCACTGTGAGTTGGACCTCAAATTTTAAATTTGATCATTTAAATCACTTTTTAAATTTTTTAAGTTTTATCTATTTTTTAAATTATTTATGTTGTGCATGCTATTTTGCATTTTTTAATTGATGATCATGTTCTCAATTACGGCATTCATGATAAGATAAAATAAAATAAAATTAAAAAATCTCCCATTTCTTCTTTAAAGGACATTGTTTTTAAAAAATAAAAAATTTGTTCAATAATTATCTTATTCAATATTATTTTAAAAATTATTATTTTTAGTTTAAAAATGATAAAAGATATTTTTTATTAATAAATATAAATATTTTTCTCAATAATTATATTAAATAAATTATTTTCATCACCATAAAATTTTATACTCATTTCTTAATATTTTATTAATATTTTTAAAATTTTTAATCTATATCATTTTATCGTTTAAAATAAAGTTAATAGACAAAAAAAAACTTACTTTTAAAAACGGTTTTTTAAATTAATCTTTAAAAATGTTTTTAAAAATTAAAAATCAAAACTAAATTAAACAATAGTTTTACATTCATCCCTTCGTTCCACAAGTTTCACTTTTTTTCTTTTTGGTTCTTCGAACACTGGATAAAAAGAAGTTAAAACTAAAATTGTGAAAGAAGAGTAAAAATAACCCTAGTTCTTTTTTTAGAATGATAAGTATAATTAAGAACAATTTTCAAAATTTAAATTAATATATAATCTTACTTAAAATTAACAATATATTTAAGAAAGATTACCTTAAATGATTTCAATATTGTTCAGTGAAAAGAAAAAAGTGAATGATATTGATCAAATAATATAATAAGTATTACATGTTAAAAATTCAAAGGACAAAATGTAAATGAAATTATGATAATTAAATTTTTCTTATTTTAGACCAAGTTTGACAAAAATTAATGAACTAGTTAACATTGAAAAAATAAAAGGAATTTTGAGTAAATATTGTTAGCTCAAAATTTGAAAGATGTTAAATTCACTCGTTAAAGTATAAAATACTGGTAAAATTGTCTATTAAACTATTTGATTTTAATGTAATTTTTTTAATATATGTTTTTGTAATTCATATAAAAAATATTTTTAATTAATTTAACTTTATTTTTTTAGTTAATTTTAAATCTTTGTAATTTTTTAAAGATAAAATATTTTATTGAAATAAAAAAAATACTAACAGGTTGGTTTATGAAATTTTTATTAAAATATATAAGGATACTAATGATAAATAATAATAATTATTATAATATATAAATATAAATTGAAGTACGACTTTAAATAACATTTAAAAATTAATATAATTGATATAATAGTTTTTAATTAAATTATTCTATCTGTACTTCCTGAGAATCTTGTTTCTAATACTAATTTTAATATATATATATATATATATATATATATATATATATATATATATATTTAGACAAACCTTCCCTTTATGATCATCTCCAAAAATATAAATATTGGACCTTAAATTAATTTCATCTAAAAGGAAATAAAAACCTAAAATATTATAATTTTAAAAAGTAAAATTATTGATCCAACATACTAATTTGTTTGGCCATAAGTTAAGCTTAATTTTTATTTTTAGATAACCAAATGGTATTTTAAAAGTTATAAAAAAATATATTTTGGTATAATAGAAAATATCATAGATCAGTGCATTCACAATAATTATGCAATATATGATTTGAAACAAAATAATATATATCAACATTTTTATAAATTAAATATATTTCAAAAAAAAAAATAGTATAGTTTCAAATGGTCTTATACTTTTCAGAATTTATGCTTTGTAATACATTTAAAAATAATTAGGAAGAATATTTCATAACACTGTATAAATAGTTAAAAAAAACACTTAGTATTTTATCAGAATATATTTACTAGAAGTATTTCCTTGTTATAAATATTTTTTATCATTATTTATAATATTATCATTTATATATTTAAAAATAGTAACATGAAGAGAAAGAAAAAAAGAGTGTGATAATAAGTGGTGAAAGAATATATATGTGAATACCCGTATACTTAAAGAGTGAAGACAAAAAAAACTTAAATTCAATAATTTTAAATAAATTATTAATATAAAAAATGTGGATAAAAATATGTTAAAATATTTAAATAAGATACTTTTAAATATTTTATATACAAATTTTATCATATATCAAAAAAATTTAATTTCAAATAAATTATAAGATACATTTTAAGAGTCACATATAAATTTTAAATTAAAAAAAATAATAGATTGAATTATACAAGATATTGAAAAAAAAAACTGACTCTATCAGTATTTTCATAATTCTTTTTATCCCATAATCTATGTTAAATAGAGAAGTGGTAGAATGAAAAATAAAATAAAATCCAGTGAACACATGAATGATGCTATGTATATTATTATTATTATTCTAGATCCACATTTTCAGAAATTTTTTTGAAATTAACTTTATGGAAATATTCTAAATTTACCTTTTCAAATTTTTTTTTAAAATATTATAAAATCAATTTTTTGAAAATATTCTAAAAAATTCTTCTAGAAAGGTCAATCCAAAATATTTTCAGAAAATTCATTCCTCCATATTAACCTTTATGAAAGTATTTCAAAAGGGAAAGCTTCCAAAAAATTCAACCTGAAAATTTTCTAAACCTAATTATATTAAGAACAATATTATCATTTTTAGATAAATTGGGGTGGAGTATACGGGTGCATCAAGAAAAAACCCTCGAGCTAGTAGATTAAATAAATGAGCCCAACCCACAAAATATGAGCCCAATCTACATCTATATCCTTGACATTATTGATTATATAATAAAAAATAAAAATCATTGTTTTAATCTCCTGAAATCTTTTACCTGCCAACACTGTATATTGCATTACGGTTGGTTTAGTTAAGAAAAAACAAATTGAAGAGAAGAGAAATTATGAAATTAAATTTTATTGTTTAGTGAGAGAAAAGAGTAAAAATAATTTAAAAAAATAAGTGGAATCTATTTTTTTTTTTTATCTTTTTCATCTCTATTTTTTTACGATAATATAATTCAAAAATAATCCTCCAACATAAATAAATTATTTATTCAAAAATAATCTGTCACATTTAAATCCATTTTTATTATGTATGGTCCTCACAATCTCAAAACTGATAATACAAAATCTACATTCCGTTGATCAAGTATTATTTTAATAATATAAATCTACATTCCTTGGAACTTATATTGAATAATTTTCGTAAATTTGTGTTTGGTTGAGAGGAGAGAAAAAAGATAATCAAGAAAAATAAATAATATTGTATATTTAGTGGAGAGAATATTAAAAAAATAAAAATTGAATCTAATTTATTATTTATATTTTTGTTTTCATTTATGTGTATCTCTTTTCATTACTTATTAAATCA